ACAACTGTATATCTATACAAACAAATAAAATTGAAGTGTCTGTTTGTAATATCAACATTACAGATGAAAAAAATAAAATAAATGCATATGAATTAAAAGTATATACGGTACATATAACAAAAATACAAATTTTAAACTTTTTGTCTGTCTGTTTGTTCCGTCTAATCTCCGAAACGGCTGAACCGATTTTGACGGGACTTTCACTGACAGATAGCTGATGTCATAAGGAGTAACTTAAGCTTCTTTTATTTTAGAAAAAGAATTAGGGTTCTGCGCAAAAAAATTAATACCTTCAAATAATACGCGTGCAAAGTCGCGGGGAACAGCTAGTTTTATAAATACCGTTACGAGCTTGGGATTCGAGACAGTTAAAAACTGCCGATTGAATTACCAAAATTGACACTTTAATTACAGAACACTTATTACAATTTAAAACCGCACTAATAATAAAACACAATTGTACTACTGCTCACTTTAGTTCGCAGTCATATCGCTTCGAAGTATCCGCTTATGCCGGCCTTATATAGGGCCTCAGATAGTTTCCAGAACCTTCTACTGTAGAAACATCTAGAATGATCTTGACTCTCCTAGTTTTGCTACTCGATACTAGAGGGCACTAGTGGTAACTAGTGTTGCCATGTACGAGACATTAATAGTGGCGCGCAACATTGCCCGCCTCCTAAGACATGCTCGTCCCGAGAATTATTGGCCCCATAAATAACGCGCCAGTCCTCGCCAGTTTCCATGCTGCTGTTGGGCGGTGCTGTTAGCCGCACTACCCTCTCGAGATCGGTCACCTCCCCTTTCTACAGTTCGCTTATAGGGCAGCAGCATCGAAGATGGCTCCTTTCCCCACAGCCGTAGTACCTAGGGTTGTATCATTTATTGCGGTTGCAAACTGTAGCTGCTGCAACCTCCCTGACGCGATGGGAACGATGACCCTGTCGCACGGCTTCCACCTCCAGTGCATGGGCCAACGCATCCTTAAGCGTCTCGTGGTGCCAAACCTCACAGCAGCTCTGACTTCAAGGTCGCGGATGCCGTCGATGAATGTCTGCACCAGGTTCCCTGCAATGAGCGCAGGTACAGACTGGTATGCTTTCCGAACCAGCTTCTCCACCTCAAGGGCCCACTGCTGCAGGTTTTCGTTGCTGCGTTGCACGCGATCTGATCTGAGCTATGCACGAAGACGACGACGAAGACGTGTTCCAGGTAAGCGTCGCCATATCTCTTCTCCAAAGCCTCAAGGAGCTGCTCGTGAGTCACTTCCTTAACGAGAGCTTCCAGTACAGTTAAGGCCTGGTCGCGCAGGCCTAGGGTGAGAGCAGTCATAGCCTGACTTTTATTCCATCCGTTCGCCTTCATGACAGCCTCGAACTGGATTTTGTAGGCCGACCAGGAAGTCCGAAGTCCCGTCGAACGGTGGCACTTTGAATCCCCGTAGCGAAGGTGTTGTAGCTACCACGGGAGCTGTAATTCTATCCCCAAGTTTGAGGTCGTCCAGCGTTTTTTTCACGTCAGCCATCACGTTGTCAACGCGATTGTTCACTTGGTCGATTCGGGTTTCAGCTTCCGACAGGCGGTTTACATGTTGAGCAACCCTATCCTTCACCTCCCTTATCTCTTTCCTGAAGGTAACGTGAAGGTCCTTCATGAGGAGCATCTGCTCTTCCATACCGCGCTGCATCTTCTCTTCCAACCGACGAACCTGTTCATCCTGTCGGCGGGCTTGTTCCTCCTGTCGACGGACCTGTTCCTCCTGTTGGCAGGCCTGCCCCTGCAGCATCATCATCAGAGCACCTAAGTCAGGTGCTGCAGATGCGTGAGCTACTGACGGGCCGGCCGCCATGGTCGGCAGCTGGCCCTCCGACGTTTGCGGCGTTCCATTACCAAATCGTCTCTGGTCCGTCTCCTGTTGCCGTTGACTTCGGGTACGGATACTCTCCATGTCGTCCTTTGGTAAAATCGGCATGATTTGATCTCACTTCTGACACCAATTGTTACGAGCTTGGGATTCGAGACAATTAAAAACTGCCGATTGAATTACCAAAATTGACACTTTAATTACAGAACACTTATTACAATTTAAAACCGCACTAATAATAAATCACCATTGTACTATAGATCACTTTAGTTCGCAGTTATATCGCTTCGAAGTATCCGCTTGTTTCGCTGATTCAATACTGACTCAGTCGCGGTCTATACCGGCCTTATATAGGGCCTCAGATAGTTTCCAGAACCTTCTACTGTAGAAACATCCAGAATGTTCGAGTACATATCGGTCCCGAAATTTCTAGAAGGATCTTGACTGTCCTAGTTCTGCTACTAGATACTAGAGGGCGCTAGTGGTAACTAGTGTTGCCATGTACGAGACATTAACCGATTCGTTGCGGCACCAATTTTCGACAAATTTTAGCTGTGACGGCGAACAAATATTTCACGACAGGCCTGGCGTGTCAAGCGCCACAGACATGCTTTTTTTTACTTGTTTAGACCTAATTAAGTTTATTTGACATCAAACATAAGTTACAAATGGTAGGATACTTGTTTTTAGTGGGTAACTACGTGTTTTTTTACGCGTATTCTTTGAAATTGAGAGAAAGTGACTTTTTTATGAAGAGATTACAAACCTTTTGTACTATTTTTTGTTGTTATAAAAAATCATTTATATATATGTAGGTACAGCTAAATCACCCTGGAAACCTTGGTTTTTATTAAATTAAATTTTCACCTAATAATAACATTTGTAAATATTAAACAATGAAGAACCTTAATTTGAAAAAAAAAAGGTATATCATTCATTGATATTTACAAATGTTAAATATTATTTAATGTTATACAAATGTAAAAGTAAAGTCAATCTGAAAACGTATAATTAGTAAGAATAACAAAACAAGTGTTTTCAAAAGGAAAAAAAAAAACGCCGGCGCTATACGGCGGCGGATTGACAAAAGACTATTTATTAGCGAACTTTTTTTATGCATGAACGGTTTCGAACTGTTTCAAGCAAAAATAAACCTTATACCATATCACAAGAGCACATGGTACTTCCTAGGTCTATTCGGCCATATGATAGTAATAAGACGGCAGTTAACCATTTTAAGCAAAATTAAACAATAAGACATTGTTTTTTTTTTAACAGGAGACTTGTTTTCCAGAAATTTATTTACAACTTGAGTTTGTGAGCGATCGCAATGAGTGCTATTATTTGTTACTTATTAGACAATTTTTCCATAACACGATTTAAAACCCACAAAGAAAAATAGTACCATGTACACGGTAAAAAAAGGTTGTCAACCCCTAAAAATTACAAATTATCAAAATATCCAGAAACGAAGCTGCATGCATGAACTACTCGCAAAATAATGAATATTTTGTTCTGGATAAATTTTCCAAAAAAGCAATTTGAGCGAGTTATAACGATTTTTAAAAAGACACGACTCGCGTGTCACCCGCACTGAACCGGTTAATAGTGGCGCGCAACAATACGTTTAAATAAGTACTTTTGTTTGAAATTATCCCAAATTGAATGTAATTTATGGGCAACAACTACGCGCACGCGCGCTTCTCTGCGTGTGATTCAATTCATATAGTTTTTGCCTAGTGAACGACCCTTACGAATGTGTGCTTGCGCAGTAAAATTAGTTAATAATGCATTACCACGCATTTTGAATTCAAAAATATAAAGGGCCGAATGTTTGAGATTTTTTAAAATAAATTTTTCTTCACTGTTTGCCTATATTACTTATTCTGAATCTTCTCTGCAAATTTGGCTGGTTACTGCAATTAAATATACTAAAGGAAATAATATTAAAGGAAATATATATTAAAGGAAATACAACTGACTCACTCACTCATCACGAGATATCGAAAACTCGTATAGTTTTCGTAGACCCTTATATATCCCTTTCTGGATGTAGACACTCAATAAGAAAGGATTTTCGAAAATTCAACTGTTGAAGGGGTGAAACAGGGTGTTACAGCTTGTTTCTTATATTTACGTGAATACTACACGTGAAATAAATCCGTAAAATTTGATTTTATTCATTTCTTTTTTTAGGGTTCCGTATCTATACAAATAAATAAAAATGAAGTGTCTGTTTGTAATGTTAAAATAACAGCTTTTTACTAAATGCATATGAAGGTATATACGATACCTATAACAAAAAAACAATTTTCAAAAATTTTGTCTGTCTGTATGTTTGTTTCGGCTAATCTCCAAAACGGCTGGACCGATTTCGACAGGACTTTCACTGGCAGATAGCTGATGTTATAAGGAGTAACTTAGGCTATTTATGTTTGAGAAAAAGAATTAGGGTTCCGCGCAACATAATTAAAACCCTAAATTACACACGGGCGAAGTCGCGGGGAACAGCTAGTCTCAAAATAAAATCGGAACCGTTATGGGATTATTTTGTTGTCCGACCGTTAAGACACTTGAAAGGTATAAAGTTCAAATCAGTATCAAATACTAAGGTTTTTTTTTCAAAGAATAAAGGTGATAAACGAGCACACAGTCCACCTGATGGTAAGTGGTTGCTGTGATCCATAGACATCTACATCTATCCTCAGTAAAGAACCAAAATGCAGATACGTTGTCACCCCTGAGGAGTGAAATGTAATGCCTCGTTTCCAGTAAAAAGGTTCTTCGGTTTTCTATACTTAGCAAACGAAACACAATAGTATTATGTTGCTACTTCACGTTGGTATTCTGTGAGAGCGTGGTTTTTCCACGGTCGAGCCGACCCAATCGTGCTACTTCTATAGATCTACGGTCCCTTGTACGTAGGTGTAAAAATTTTGATACTCGTGTACTCAAAATCTATAGTGTTACGTCCCGTTGATATAAAATCATGAATTTTGCCAAGAAGTAAGGTTTTATAGCACCAGTAAAGGAAAACATCTGAAAATCATATGACATTAAAATGTTTTTGTGATCACAAACTTTCATTTTCTGTTCAGCCATTGTAGATCAATTTATGGGACAACAATTTTTCCAACATAATTAGTAACATTAATTTGTTTGTACATAATTGTTAAATGAATAAATAAACAAATGAATAATTAAGTATATACGTTACCCTCAAGGCGCGAGTTCTACTTGCGCTTGTCCGATGTTTTATAACATTTGTATCAAGCGAGCTAACATCCTACCTTTCACAACCATTCTGCCTTGCTGACCGCAATTTCCGTTAAACTTACAAGACTAGTCTTAGATTCTATTTAAAAAAAAAAAAGAATCTAAGACCAGATAAAATATTTGGCCGAGATTAATTGAAAATATGTGCTCACTTTTTGAAGTTATACTTCTTTTGAGGCGTTTGAGAAAAATGATGAGAGTGATTTTTTTACGATGCGCCCGCACACCGACATATATAAACGACACCATGAAGTTGTTACGATGCGCGCTGTGAAATCCGCACGCGGTAAAAGTGAAACCTTCAAATGAAATGAATTATAAATCTAAAATATTTCAGAGCAAATGATTTATTTAAACCACAAAATAAAATATACGATTAAAGTTTAAATGATAATAATAATGCTATTATTATGCTTATTAATATTATAATACCCATATTCAATTATTAGCCTGGAGGTAGACTGGTAGAGAATGCCCTGTTGCATTAAGTCCGCCTTTTTGTACTTGGTGTGCAAATAAAGCATAAATAAATAAATGTTTATAGCCTATACCAAGGGTCACCAAAAGGCGGACCGCGGTTCGCATCCGGACCGGCGTACGTATTTTGAAACAGAACAATCTAAGAACATCAATATTAAAATTATTAATTATTTATAATAATTTCTTCTGTTTTAAAACACAAAACTTCGGGAGTTATTTGCCAAGAATTTTGGATAAAATTAGTGTGTGGTATAGATAACCAGAACTAAAAGGGCTTTGAAACTTTGTACAATGTTTGGATCATTAACATATTTTATTTGTGAAGCAGAGATCTCCAAGATGAACTTCATTAAAAATAAATTTCAATCTCGTCTTACCGATGACCATCTCCAAGATTGAATGACAATAGCTTACACCAACTTAATTCCATACTTCAGACAGATTATTCAAATTAAAAAATGCCATTGCATTGTCGCCTTAATATTGGGTACTTTGTTATTTTTAATTAGATGTATTCTTAATAAAAAAAATATTCCGATTTCTTTTTGTTTAATTTGTTAATTGACATTTTAAATCTTGGTTGCTAGTAATCATCTAGCAATCGGACCAGGACAGATTTATATTTTTTTAAACGGACCCGCAATTGAACTAATTGGTGATACCCGACCTATACTATTCATCATGAATCTGGCTATCCCACACAAAATGAAATTTATCTAATCGGACTGGTAGTTGCGGAGATTAGCGAGTTTAAATAAACTAAAAACCTCTTTCGTTTTATTATATTCGTGTATATCTATCTCATTCTCTCGCAGGCTAAATCATATAGATGTATGTCTGTCTCTTTTTAGTGTCGCTTTTTCCTTTCATCGTGTTTCAAATCACAACGATACTAAGAAAGTTTCACTTCAATAATGTCTTAAGACAATTGTTATTCGTTGTGACTTCATTTACAGATATTTCAAGAAACTCACGGAGCAGGAAGGCCGCAACCAGCATTGCGATCGATCGCACTCGCGTCGACGCTCGTACAGTCGGTCCCATACGCGATCTAGATCGCGTTCACGTTCACGTTCAAGGCCGCGTCGTCGTTCGTACAGTCGCTCCAGGTCCAGAAGTAGACGTTCCAGAAGTAGACGCTCTAGAAGCAGAAGCCGAAGCAGACGTTCAAGTTCTAGAAGCAGAAGATCAAAGTAATATGTATTTTAGTTATTATTATTGTATGTCTAAACCTGGAGCATCATTAAGTCCTAATATAAATTAAATTGTGATATGTAAAAGGAAAGGCCGATTATGTCATAAGAAGCTATATTGGTTAAATAGTTTCTATAATTGAAGTAAAGCCTTGCAATCAAATGCCTATATTGCAAAATTAGGGCTGTGAAATGGCGTAAGTATATCCACTATCCCATATTGTCCCGTGGGTGTTGTATGAACAGATGGTAACTGTAACAGGAAATGGGCAGCAGCATCTTAATACGTGATAGCAACACGAAATAATAAAAAACTGCGTGCGTGGCAACTATGGCAAAATCCTCCCTAGAAGGCAATCTATGGTGGAGGTTTATGTTCAGCTGTACTAGAGTGGCTTGGACTATTATAGGCTGTAACAGACGAATGGATGAATTGATAGTGTGACCTTTCTTTATAGAATAAGGATGACAAACGAGCACACAGTCCACCTGATGGTAAGTGCTTGCTGTGGCCCATAGACATCTACATCTATCGCTATCATCGTTTGCGAATTAAAATGTAGATGCGTTGTCAGCCGTGAGGACTAAGATGGCATGCCTCTTTGCCAGTAAAAAGGGTCTCCGGTTCTCTACACTCACCATACGAAACACAGCAGCGTTAAGCTGCTATTTTACGCTGGTATTCTGTGAGAGCGTGGTCCTTCCCCGGTCGAGCCGACCCATTCATGCTACAACTATACTATTAATATAGCTGCAGCATGGCTCTACCACGTAAAAATAATGATTAAAGGTGCACACTTGCAAGAAAGGGTTCACATTCACCATTCAACTACTGTTGTGAACTACTCCTTATACAAACATTTAAGCTTGGACTTAATAACAGCAATATTAGTAATGTTAACGGCGTTACTAATAATTCTTTTTTTTTAAACTGAAAAACAAAATGATTTTCTAATTTCATGTTTTGTTATCCGTTTTTTTCAGATCGTACCACAGTCGGTCTAGGTCTCGAAAACGGTCTAGATCGCGCAGCCGCCGATCCAGAACAAAGTCCCGTTCTAAGACCAGACATCGTACTACCAGTCCCAAAGAGACGAGCGAGCACAAAGGCAGAAGTAATGAGGATGGTAACCAGTTGGTTACGCCACAGATAAGAAGGGACAGGTCCAAGAGTTGGTCTCTACCCAAAGATGTGGAACCACGCAAGTCTTGGTCGAAAAGTCCGAAAAACGACTAAAAGTGCTTAATTAATAAGGATTATATTCATAGTAATAAATATATTATTTATTTATGCATTTGTTTCTTTGAATTTGGGACGGTTTGCACTATGTACAAAGTTAAATCGAACTCGCTTATCAACTTATAACGATGTAGAGCAATTTTTTGTTTTTAACCGACCTGAAAAAGGAGGAGGTTCTCAATTCGACTGTATTTCGTGTGAAGTTTTTTCTAGGTGAACCGATTTTTATTTGAAAGCTGGTGTTTCTGATGTGGTCCCATATAAATTTGATTAATATCTGACCAGTGGCTTTTGAGTTATCCTAAATAATGAGTATTTAATTGACTTCGACTATGTTAATGATGTTCTCATTTTATTTATATAACCGACTTGGTTGTTCAAAATTTTTAATTTTACCACTTGTGTTGTAAATTTTCGAACCAGTAATATGATATAAAAACGATTCATTATCATCATCATCATCATCATCGTTACAGCCCTTCACAAGTTCACTGCTGAACATAGGCCTCCCCAAGGAATGCCACAAATCATGGCCCTGAGCCATCTGTATACGTCGACTTCCAGCATATCTTACCAGGTCGTTACTGCATCTAGTGAGGGGACGCCCTACACTTCGTCCTCCGGTACCAGGTCGCCACCCGAGAACCTTTTTTCCCCATCGGTTGTCGGTTCTTCGAGCTATATGGCCGGCCCATTGCCACTGCAACTTACTAGTCCGTTGGGCTATGTCGATCACTCTGGTTTTACTGCGGATATCCTCATTTCTAAGTTTATCACGCAGAGAAACTCCGAGCATAGCCCTCTCCATAGCTCGCTGAGCGACCTTGAGGTTCCTCATCCGGCCAGCAGTAAAGGACCACACCAGTTTCATAGGTCATAACTGGCAACACGCACTGGTTTTACAGTATCGTTTTCAAGTTTTGAGGTATACCTGACGAGAAGATGTGCCGTAATTTACCGAACGCTGCCCAACCGAGTTGAATCCGTCGATTGACCTCTTGGTCGAAGTTGGACTTACCTAGTCGGACTATTTGTCCCAAACATACTCGTCAACAACTTCGAGCTTAGTGCTCCCAGCAACTATCGGCATAGGTGTGACATGGACATTAAACATGATCTTTGTTTTGTCCATGTTCATCTTAAGACCTATCCGTTGGGAAACACTATTGAGGTCATTGAGCATAGTGCTTAGATCCTCCAGCGATTCTGCCATAAGGATTATATCGTCGGCAAATCGAAGGTGAGTGATGTACTCGCCATTGATGTTAATACCGTATCCTTTCCAGTCCAGAAGCTTAAAAACGTCTTCCAATGCATTGCCTTACACCTCTCTGCAATTGGATAGGTTTCGTACTTTGGTGCTGTACTCGGATAGCCATCGTAGCCCTACTGTACAAGCACTTCAGCACTTCGATATACCGACAGTCAATTTTGCACCGCTGAAGGGACTGCAGCACCGTCCAGATTTCGACGGAATCAAAGGCTTTCTCATAGTCCACATACGCCAGACATAGTTGAAAATTGTACCCCTCGGTCTTCTGTACAATTTGCCGAAGAGTATGTATGTGGTCTATGGTACTAAAGCCGATACGATTCGTAATGACTCTCGAAAACTGCACGTAGACGCGGCTCAGAAGGGAAATTGGTCTGTAGTTCTTCAAGAGAGCGTTGTCACCTTTATTGAAGAACAAGACCACCGCACTTCTGCTCCACGCCTCCAGTGTAATGCCACCATGGAGGACGGAATTAAAGAGCTTCTGAAAGACTTTAAGTACCGGTTTTCCACCCGCTTTCAGAAGCTCCGCTGTAATTGCATCCTTGCCTGGGGCCTTGCCGTTTTTAAGGTGCTGGAGAGCCATTCTACTCTCGCTCAGACTGACGTCCGGGATATCATCGGAGTAGTGTCGGACAAGACTCGCTCTTAGATCGTTACTCACTTGCGTGGGGCTCCAACGATGATGTGTACAGCTGCCCATAGAACCTCTCAATCTCACTCAAAATCTCAGGTGTCCCGGAAACGACGTTCGCCGGAAGCGACGCGCAGAAAGAGCCAACAGTCGAAGCTGAAGACCGAGTGTGCGGTCTTCAGCTTCGACAGTTAGCTCTTTCTGGCAGACAGATCTCTAGCAAAGACTTTGGAGCCCTGGTTCCGCTCGATCGCTTCTTCAATACGAGCAGTATTAAAGTTGTAAGTCCCGCCGCATGAATTTGGAGATCTGTCTGTTCAGTTGCCTGTATGCTGTCAAATCTACTGAAGACTGCAGCTTCATATCCCGTCTAACAGCCATGAGGTTAAGAGTGTGATCGAAGAGTTTTTGTGTTCTTCGGCGTTGGGTCTTGCAAAACATAGCTCCGACCGCATGGACAGTTTCCACGAAATTGTCATTCATATTGTCCACTGCATTGCAATCTTCTAGGCACTGAAAACGGTTTCGTAGCTCGAGCTGAAAGGTTTCGGGACGTTACGGCGGGACGGGGACGGAGCGTTGACTTCATTAGACGTGACCTCCCAACTTATCGTTTAGGTTCAGTGTGCCTCTCACCATTCGGTGATCGTTGCCGGTTTTCACCCTCGCGACCACTGAGACATCACTGAACAGTTGTCTGGTCGTCATAATGAAGTCAATCTCATTTTTTGTCGAACCGTCGGAGCTCGACCATGTCCACTTCCTGTGGGGCCGCTTACCATTAAGCTAAAAACAATTACCATTATATAAATGTTATATGCAATGGAGTAATGACCCACCTAACTCTCTTTCGCAGTACCTAAAGAACGCAGTTTACTAGATCGCTATACGCCAGGGGTGCCCAATTTTCTTAGGAATGAGAATTATGTAAAAGTTTTTCAACTTATAGGGATCGAATCAACTAAATCGTTTTGGTAGGAAAGTTAAACAATAATTAAATTATCTAATTTTAGTAATTTACTATTCAAAAGAAGTTAATACAGCGTGCCTTCATTACTGGGTTTAATTAAAAAATCTATATGATATAAATATATAAGCTATATGATAGTACGAGGGTGCGTTTTTAAGTTCGCGGAAGGAGTGGAAATAAAAATCCAAAATATATTTTTCCTTTTCAATATATTCACCTGCTACCCTAATACACTTTTCGGATCTTTCAATTAACTTCCCTCAAAAAAATGATTTGTCTTTGTCTAAAAAATACGCAGAAATTGCTTCTTTCACTTCTTAATCACTTAAAACATTTTCCCACGACTTCTTGCAGGGCAGCCATCGCAACATGGCACTTGTGAACAGGTGCGTTGTCGTGCAGAAGAAGGATTCCTTTGGTCAATTTTCACCTTCTTTTCTCCTTTATGGCTTCCTTCAATTGTTCTAGGATTGAAGCGTAGTAATTTCCGGTTATGCAGACACCTTTATATTTATAATTTATCAATAGGATTCCTTCTGAGTCCCAAAAGACTGTCGCCATGATTTTCCCAGCCGATTATGCCACCTTAAATTTCTTGGGTGGTGGTGTGTCACTGCATAGATTCCTGTTTGAACTCAGGTTCATAATGGTGAACCCAAGTTTCGTCACCAGTAACAATTCGAGCCAACACTCCATCTTTGTCTTCCATACAGAGGTTCAAAAATGCACGAGAACACTCCACGCCTTGTTGCTTTTGAGGCGGCGTGAGTATTCTAGACTTTTGCGCTCTCTTGCGCAAACCTTAGTCATGCCAAGATTGTCATGAAAATTTTGAAAATGGTTGTACCTGATACTCCAACCATTTCTGCGAGCTGTTTTTTCTTTAGGCGGGCATCTTCTAATATTAATTTTTCGACTTTTTGAATAATTTCCGAAGTGGTCACCTCGATCGGCCTTCCTGGCCGTGGGTCGTCTTCAAGTGACTCTCTGCCTTGTTTAAAAAGAGTATGCCACTTGTAAACCATAGTTTTATTTGCACAAGAGTCTCCGTAAGCGGATGACATCTCTTCCAGTATAGTCTGAACTGATTTTCCGCGCTTGGTAAGGAACTTTATAATGGCACGGAACTCGATTTTCTCAATATTTCATAATTTCTTCCCGATTGACTTGTTTGGTTGACGATAACTCAAAGACTAATGATCTAATTACAATAAAACCCGGTATTTATACTAATAATGAGTTGCCCAATTAGCACGTAATTCAGCGACGTCCCCACTTATTATCTACCTACCCATTCCGCGATCTTAAAAACGCACCCTCGTATGTATGTATGTAGTAGTATGTATGTATGTATGTATGTTAAAACAAAAAAATAAAACCTGATATTTATAAAAATCAAAAGACTACACAATATTCATTGCATATAGTATTTTTAAATCAATTATTAATTAATTTTAATTTCATTCATATTGAAAATAATGCACTAAAATAATGGCTTGAAATTTTTTTTTATAAAGACTGACAAAATTGTATTTCATAATCAGCTGATTGCAAGTGGCGCAAGAATTGGTTTGCAAGCTGATTGCAAGTGGGTTTCACCCACGTATATCACGTGTCTGAGGCGTGACAAGACATGACACCTAGTTCAAGCATTGTAGATAGCAATGTATGGAAAAATTGGCAAAATTAATGGAGTACTTTTATCTATCGGCTTATATAGGTTGCAGGAGAAATATTGGCTCGGCCGGTGTATAAAGCATTACCAGTGCTGTCGTCCGCAACAATGAATATTACTGGTTTGCATATATCATTGATATGCAGAAGAAACATCGTAGGTAACACAATAGCACGCAGCTTTGTGGAACACCAGCATTAATAGGCTTGTAATCGGAGCATGCAATGTCTTCTACGACCTTGATGCTCCCATCTGGAAGAAAACTTGTGATCCAATTGCGTTTGCAATTGCAACACCAGCGCACGGGGATAAATCAATTCTGGAGCGATATTTAGATAGCCTATACTTATTCCTCATTGATCTGGCTATAAATTTAAAAAACGAGGAGGTACTCTCAATTCGACTATATTTTTTTTTATTTGTATTACCTCGGAACTTGTTTTTGGTGAACCGATTTTGACGATTCTTTTTTATTTATTTGAAAAGTGGTGCTACTTA